ACACACACACACACACACACACACACACACAGAGTGAGAGTGAGAGAGAGATAAAGAGAGAGAGAGAAAGTTGGCTCTTGCCAGACCCTGGTTTACACTTTTGTCGATGAGATGCCTCTAAGTCCTTACAATCTGACCCCCTTCTTCCCCTTGCTAGTTTGAGGGGTTTCTCTAATCTTTCCATCACTGAGCCTTGGCTAAGACACACACGGCCATCTCCCGCCTCTATCTCATTCTAGAACGGCATCTGAGTGCCAGATGCTGCCTGAGATGCTGCTTCGTAGAGAAAACACCCTCCATCAGAATGACCAGCCATTACTTTCTGATCATGCAGGGGACTTTAACCCACTTGGAGAATACAATTGGAAACTATCTTCCCTGCAGCCATCTTCTCATCAAGGTGGGACAAGAGACACTATCCTGAGACATCAGTCTGATCTTCCAAGTGTCTGTTTTCTGCTCCAAAGGAATGTAATGCAGGGCGTTTATTCCACAAATGTGAACACATTCCAGGAGATGACGGCCTTCCTTTTCGCCCCTCAACAACCATTTTACAAGGGTCTCTAAGTCTAGGGCTTTGCTGCAGCCAAGAAGAGACATTCCCTTTGGTTGGAGCCCAATTCAGAGGGCAGTTGTGGAAGGCGGGTAATGTGTGTGTGGGAGGAACAGAGGGATTCTCAGGGGAACCAAAGCAGGGATCTAGAGAAGCCAGCATCATAGCAGTTAATGGGGAGGGGCTGGGCTATTGACTAAACTAAAACAAAATGTAAGCATTGTATTAGCTCTTCACTGTATTAGCTTTTTAAAAAGACCCTTGCAATTATTTATTAACCACTCTGGAATCTCCCTAGCCTTTGCTGAGACGCCACTGTCATGCATAGGATCCGACTGGCCAGAGCCCCTTGGGCAGAAAGCATGTGGTCCCAGCCTTCTGAGGACCCTCCTCCCCTCCCACACCCTCACTTGCACCCTCCACTGTCATTGGTCCAGGCTGCCTCCGTTCCCCTCCTGCAAATGTTTATTCCTGCCCTGAGCCTTTGCCCAGATAGGCTTCCTCGCCCCTGACTCTTTCCTCTCCTGATCACAGCCTCCTGATCCCTGGGGTGCTGGCCAATCTATCCTCCACCATGCGGGCCACCCCTCACCTCCCAGGCTCAGGCCACACTGCCTTCTCCTTCCTCTGAATGCCTGCGGCCTTCCTTGTCACAATGGCTCCTCTGTGCACCTGGTGCAATGATTTGGCAGCTTCCTGAAACTACAGCTCGTCTTCCTGTTGGAATTGCCATCCGCGTGAGGGCAGCCCCTGAGCTTCAAACACAGGGTAACTGGCAGGAAAGTCTTGGCACGACGTGTACGGCCCTCCCCCAACCGGCACTACCCCACACTCCATTTCCGGCACAACCCTCCCCGAACTCAGTCACATGCCTCATTCATCTTTGTTTCCAGACTCCACTCTCCAACCCCAGCTCAGCACCTTGCACATAGCAGATACTCAAAATGTTGTTGACTTGAAAACACAAATATTCATCAGGTGGAATCAATATTGTTCTTTTCAGGGGGTTCGAAGAGAGAAAGAACCAGCTTTTGGGATGCTGGGACGCTCAGCTTGGCCTCTGTTTAATGCTGAACACCCACGGAAGTCTTCAAGGGGCCATGAGGCCTTATAACCCTGATGCAGTTGAGTTCCAGCTAGAGAGAACACGGCCACACAGAGGAGAGACCAGACATCTCAGGGCCTGTCCGAGAGCAGCTCGGGGCACAGTCTGTCTGAATCTGCTCTTTGGTAATAAGCACAGTGAACATATAATTTATCGCTCAGACCAGGACACTTTTGAGAGAGAACTGGTAATTATGCTGGGACTATCCCAGATAAGCAAGCAGGACGGTCACCTCAAGCAATCAATCATGTTCTGTGGCCAAACCCCTCCAAGGAAAAGACAAAATACAGTTTTCTAAACATAAGAACGTGCTAAACCTCAAAGTAGAGCTTGGTGCCAAGATTGCTTTATTTTAAAAGCCAATTGTGTTGTTGAAGAAAAGGCTATGTTCTCGGCCCATTTTGGCTATGGTCGGAGACTGCTTAGGGAATTGTCTTAAAGTTGTATATGCTCCCGGGCCTGGGGTTTTCTGAAAACAGAGCAGAAAACAGGGACTGATGAGACAGTGAAACCAAAACCCTGAGGCTCCTGTGCCTGGCTGCTGGCTTGGATGTGGTGGACAAATTCCCCAAGGATGAAGACCAGGGCCACACCAGCCTGGGCTGAAGCCTGGCAGACCCTCTAATTGGAACATGTCCTTGGAGCAGAGGCTGCTCCTGTTAGGGGCTCACCATGAGGCTGGAGGGGGGCTGAGAGGCCAGGTCAAGCCAGGGGCCACCTAGAACCTGCTGGGAGAGGCGGGGTCACACGCCACCTGCACCTCAAGGCACACCTTCTCCCAAAGAGCACTTGGCCCAGGCAACTCCTATCCCAAAGAATGCCATCATCCTTCCCCCGGTGACCTCGGCCTGGCAAGAAGTGAGTGAAGAGAATGAGTTCTGAACCTGGTTGGTCTAACTCAAAAGTCCAAACTGCCTCTCAAACTCGGGTTGTGCCTTAGTTATTGACCCAGAGTTATTAAAGTAAGGTGCTTCTCAACCAGGGTCCACGGACCCCAGGGTCAGAAGTATTCTCAAGGGATCCACAAGTTCTAATTTTTGAAAGTCATGTTTTTGTTTTTATAAAATGCTTGAACAAATATTATTATTATTATTTGTTCATTATTATTTTTTTTTTTTTTTGAGAGAGTCTCGCTCTCACCAGGCTGGAGTATAGTGGGCGTGATCTCAGCTTACTACAATCTCTGCCTCCCAGTTTCAAGCTATTCTCCTGCCTCAGTCTCCCGAGTAGCTGGGATTACAGGTGCCGCCACCACCACACCCAGCTAATTTTTTTTGTATTTTTAGTAGAGACGGGGTTTCGCCACGTTGTCCAGGTTGGTCTCAGTCTCCTCACCTTGTGATCCACCCACCTCCGCCTCCCAAAGTGTTGGGATTACAGGCATGAGCGACCGCACCCGGCCGGGTTTTTTTTTGTTTGTTTGTTTGTTTTTTTGAGATAGGGTCTCACTCTGTCACCCAGTCTAGAGTGCAGTGGCACAATCTCAGCTCACTGCAACCTCCACCTCCTGGGCTTAAGCAATTCTCATGCCTCAGCCTCCTGAGCAGCTGGGATTACAGGGGTGTACCACCACACCTGGCCCTATTTTGCCAATTATTTAAACAAAGCTTCTCTTCTGTAGTGATAAAATACAAATAAATGCCATTTTCACAGACTAAGACTTCAATTTCTTTTTTTTTTTTTTTTTTTTTGAGACAGAGTCTCGCTCAGTTGCCCAGGCTGGAGTGCAGTGGAATGATCTCAGCTCACTGCAAGCTCCGCCTCCTGGGTTCACGCCATTCTCCTGCCTCAGCCTCCCAAGTAGCTGGGACTACAGGCGCCCGCCGCCACGCCCGGCTAATTTTTTGCATTTTTAGTAGAGACGGGGTTTCACCATGTTAGCCAGGATGGTCTCAATCTCCTGACCTCGTGATCTGCCCACCTCGACCTCCCAAAGTGCTGGGATTACAGGCATGAGCCACCGCGCCTGGCCTAAGACTTCAATTTCTTAGGTCGATGTCTCCCATGCTGGGGGCACATGCACATATTCTTGAAGGCATTTGAGACACCAGTGTAATGATTAAGATCAAGGGTTTTAGAGCCCAACAAGCCTGAGTTCCAGTCCTAGTCCCACCACCAACGGCTCAGTGGGACCCTGGGCATGGGCTTCCCACACCTTGCCCATCAAACAGCATAGAGTACCTGCCTCTAAGGGGCTATGAGGCTCACTGGCGCCTCTCTAAGACAAAGAGACTTGGACAGGCCAGCAGTTAGCTACCACCACTATTATTCTCTACTATTATCACCTACTTGTCATTTCTACCCTGCCCTGCAGTTTCTTATCTCTTCAGGAGACAGTGAGAGTGGAGCAGAGCAGTCAGTCCAGAGCACATGAGATCAGCTGCCTGCAGAAACCGCTTTAAATGACAGGATGTTTCCCTTGCCAAAAGCAGAGGAGCAGCCTGGAAATCTAATCAAGTCCTGGCCAAACGTCAAAGGAAGCTGAAGCCTTTATTAGTGCTATTAATGAGGGTGCAACGTGCACGTGGAGTCCTGGGAGGCCAGGGCAGAGAACAGAAGGTTCAGGGGGCCTGCACCCCCACAAGGCCACCCCTTGGGAGGCTGTTGGTTGGGGTTCAGCCACCTTGAGAACATCAAGCTCAGTTCCCCTCCCGTGATTTCACTGCCACCAACAACCTTCTGGTTGTCTTCAGCTTCCATGAAAATTTTCTATAAGGGAGAGACTCCACCAATCAGTGCTCCAGTCACCAGGCCCGTATGGTGAATGCTTAGAAGTTAACACCACCTCTTCTGGCTTCTTGCTCAGTTGCCTGGGAGTTTGGTTAGCATGACTCAGTGTTCCTGAGAATGCCCGATCCCGTGGGCTCTGACAAACATGTTTCTGGATCATGGTGATGCCACTAAGGTGTGTGGATCCCCCAGCCTCCTGCTGTCGGTCTGTCTACAATTTCACTGGCAGGGCCTCCCCATTATCAATCTAGATAAAGGCTGTGCTACCTTACTCTGCTGCCCAGCAGCTCTGGGGCAGAGATTCTGAAGGCCATGACCTGGGACATGGGCTAGGTAGGGCTAGAGGAGGTGATTTGCAGCCCAGGCAGTGGCAGCACTAGTCCTCTCCTACCCACCACTCCAACTTCTCCTCCTAGTCCCTTGATTCCCCCTGGGTGGGCCCGTTTTCTTACAGGCAGAATTTGTATTTCTGTCTCCCCAGCCACCTCAAATGAGTCTATATACCAGCAAGTCTTGGGGACTTTCAGACTGAGTTGCAGACTGAAAGCAACAAAGCTATGGGAATTAAAACTCTTTTGACATTTAAAAAAAAAAAATCCACTGTTGGTAAACTTCACATTACGCTTTTATAATCTTTCCTGGTCTTCTCTAGGTTTGGAGTCGTCCTGCACGCTCCCAGGATCCACGTTCTTTGTATCTCTCCATGGACCTGAGCCTCTTCCCTGTCTGTCCTGAGTCTCTGGGGATTGGGTGATCACTAATGCCTTAATGGTCCCATTCGGTTCAATAAAAATGTTTCTGCTTCAAATTTTGCTTCCTTGGGCTCCCAGAAGCCACACACACATAGAATAGTCATTCTGGCTGGCAGGAGGCAGCCACTGCAGGCACCCCCAACAAAGCATCTAGTTGGTAACATTGATGGCTAATTAATGTGCTGCTTCCAAGTGGCCCCATAATTCAGCCACAGATTTGGGGCCTGGAGTCACTCTGAATCTGAAGTTGGTTGAAAATGTCCAGGTATTTGAGCATTTCACTTCTGATTGCCTTGACAGGCAACTGTATGTACCAGAACTGTATACACATGATCATTCCCCCATCTCACCACCAGCCCGCACCTCCCACACACACAGGAACAGAAAACCTACCACCATAACCATGCCCCTGGGGGCGGGGGGTGGTCTGTCTTTCCGAATACTTACTGAACGGCTGGGCAAGAATCGAGGGACTCTGGATTGAAAACAAGAAGTGATAGAGCTTGTTGGAGGTTTTTTCACATTATAATCACCTGGACCAGGGCCTTCATGCTATTGAACATTTAAAAAATTGCTTCATTATTATTATACTAATATTTGATACATTTTAATGCTTTATTTGCCTTCTACAAATAAACATATGAATCAATATGATATAGTAGAAAAATCCCATGTTTGGTCTCAAGAGATCTCATTCAGGGTATGAGCTGGGACAAGTCGCTGTGAAGCGGGAGTAACTCCTGCCTCACCTCCCTTGTGCACGACGGTGAGGAGTGAAGGAGGGTTAGGTGAGCAGCACCTGCCTCCCTTGTCCCTGCCAGCATCCCTGATGCCCCTGGGCTCCCAGCCCACACTCAGGTCCCCCCGTCCCCTCACAGCAGCATGCAAGCCTCATGCCCTACTTGTCCCTCTGACTGTTAAAGGTGACTTGCTGCTCTAAGCTGTTAGCTTTATAACAATGCTCATTCTTTCATATAAATGTCATATATGTTATCTTAGTCCAAAAAAGATTCATAGCAATTCACTGATATAAGCACAATGCTATGAGATTAACATAAATAGGTGAACACAATTTTAAAAAGACAATCACTCCAGTAGCAAAATTAGCAACAGCCAATTCATAAAGAGGATATACAAACATTTAATGAGCAAACTTCGAGGAAGGAGGGCTTTCACCTCATTTATAACCACATACATTCTAATTTAAAAAACAAACTTCCTTTTTTTTCCCCCACAGAGTGAGGAGAAGGGGTTCTAAAAATTTTAAAAAGGTTAATAAAGAAGAGAGAGAGAGGAAGGAAGAAAGGGAGAAAGAAAAGGAAGGAAAGAAGGAAGGGAAGAAGGAAGGGAAGGGAGGGAGGGAGGAAGGAAGGCGAGAGGGAAAGAAGGAAGCCAGAGCTTTAACAACCAGCGCGAGCACTCCTTATGATGCTGGCAGAAGCATGAATTCGCTCAGCCTTTCCAGAGTGCAATCTGGGAAGATATGAAACAGCTTAAAAACATATACGCCTATCCAGAGAGAGAGAAAGAAGACAGGAGAATGGTTATTGGTTGTTGCAGGAAACCAGGGAGACAAATGATGAGTCTTGAGTCTAGAATGTGGCAGGGAAAATGGGAATAGCCCAAACACCACACTGGATAATGCTAACATGATGTTCATCTTTTTTTCCTAGTAATTCACTTTTTTTCCCCCTCCATTTTCAAATAGCTAATGTTCCTTGCCTCCAGGGTGGGACAGGGCCAAAAAACAGAAATAAGTGTTTTTCTAGCATGATGTCTTGGATCTGTTTCTAAATAATGCAGGAGTTAGGGGAAGCAGGTGGGAGTAGTAGCCCAAAACACTGGCCTAAAGCTGAACATTGTGGAATTGTTGACTAGGTATATGAGGTTTCAATACAGTATTCTAAGTTATATATATTTTTCAAGTTTTCACAAAATGGAGTTTAAGACAACGTATATTTATTATTTTGACCCAGCAATTCCAGTTGTAGGCATTCACCCTAAGAAAACAATTGAGAATGCGTGCAAATATTTAGCCACAAAGACTGTAACATTGTTTCCAAAAGTGAAAACTGGGAAATAAACTAAATCATGGATGATATGTGCCTGGTTAAATAAATTACAATGCTTCCATCCAGCAGTCCAATGTTGATGAGTTTTTATAGACATAACAACTACTCCCAAATGTCATTAAGTCAAAAATGCAAGCTGAACAAATGTGCATAAAAATACTTGGAATGAAATTATCTCAGAATGTTCATAAACAGTAGCTTTCTTGGGGTAGTGGTGTGTTGAACAAAAAGGAAACAAAAATCTTTTTTTGCTTATATGCATTTTCTAATTTTTCTACAATGAACACAAGTACTCCTGAAACAAGAAAAAAAGATAACGTACAGATAAATGACTATGGAAATTAGGTAAAGAAAAAAAGAGGCCAGGCATGGTGGCTCATGCCTATAATCCCAGCACTTTGGGAGGCCAAGGCTGGTGGATCACTTGAGGTCAGGAGTTCAAGACCAGCCTGGGCAACATGGTGAGACCTTGTCTGTAAAAAATATAAAAATTAGCCAGTCGTGGTGGTGTGTTCCTGTGGTCCCAGCTACTTGGGAGGCTGAGGTGAGAGGGTCACCTGAGCCGCAGAGGTCAAGGCTGCAGTGAGCCATGATCACGCCACTGCACTCCAGCCTGGGAAACAGAATGAGGCCCAAGAAAAGAAAAAAGAAAAGAAAGAAAGAAAAGGGGAGGGGAAGGAGGAGGAGAGGGGATAGGGGAAGGGAAGGGAGGGGAGAGGAGAGGAGAGAGCCAGCAGTAAGGTCATAACAGGGACATGTATCTGTAAGATCCTTATAACAGGTAAGGCTGGCCACGAATGAGCGCCTCAGATTTTGCAGAATAAGCACTGCGCTGCAGACCCTCCACAGTTGTTTTGTTTTGTTTTGTTTTGAGACAGTCTCACTCTGTCACCCAGGCTGGAGTGCAGTCATGCCATCTCAGCTCACTGCAAGCTCCGCTTCCCGGGTTCAAGCGATTCTTCTGCATCAGCCTCTCAAGTAGCTGGGACTACAGGTGCGCGCCACCAAGCCTGGCTAATGTTTATATTTTTAATAGAGACGGGGTTTCACCATATTGGCCAGGCTGGTCTCAAACTCCTGACCTCATGATCTGCCCACCTCGGCCTCTCAAAGTTCTGGGATTACAGGCGTGAGCCACTGCACCCGGCCCTTCCACAGGATTTAAAGCAAGACTTTCCCATTCTTTCTGGCAGGTGGCACAGCCATGTAATCAGGGCTGCCATTCTCAATTACTCCACCATGAATGGAGTCTGTTATTATCAGCCAAGCACACATCTGATCATCAAGGGATAGATGCACCTCATCATTTTACAACTCATGGCAGAGAGATGACAACAGTCGTATTTTCAAACTGATGTATATACGTGTGACAGAGGTTGCTGTCAGGGTGAGGCTCTCTGTTTGGTGTGAATTCTGCACTCACATTGAATAAATCTAAGCCGTAAGAAACACAAAGAAGCAAAATGCCAAGAATATCTGCACAGGAACAGTTCGTGCAGGAGCCTCTCAGTTTGGCTATAATAACACAGTGCTCTGAAGCCAGATGAGCAGCTGGGGCAAGAGATGATGCTGGGTATGCTACCACTGATTCCACACCTATGGCGGCCATCTGCAGAATGGCTAAGAAAGAAGCGACCTGCCCGTTTTCCCCAGGCCTAATGCGGCTTTGCTTTCTAAAGCTTCCTAGTCTCAAGCTGCCTGGGAGTCCAGGCATGAAGCCTGATGAAGCGTGATGCATTGCCATCCCATCCAGCAGTTTCCTTGCGTGGACTTGGTCATCTGAATCAAAGGGACTAAGATGTGTTGCAGAAAGAAGTTACCGAACGCTATTCCACATGTGGCAGATGGGATCTTTAAGAGGGAGCATTAGGGAAGTGGATATAAGCCCAAGTTCATATTCCAAAGCCACAGGCATGTTGCGGCAAAGCCGTGACTATTCTGAGACTGCTCACGGCTGGGTCCTGCAATGGCCAGGAAACAACTCTAGCAGAGTCCCCACTGCTGCCCCATCTGAGGACAGCTTGAGTGGATAGATGGTTCGGGATGTGCCATTTCTGAACCCAGTTCAATGGGAGGGTGTTTAAAACAAGAGGGACATTTGAACCACGTCCTCTTCCTTAAAGCTGAGCACTCTGCTCTCTCCTTTACTGGGGATCCTCAAGTGTGATCTAGACCTTGGGTCTCACATTGTGTGTGATACGTGTGCAAAGGGGGGCCTCGGGTTCACCAAGCAGCACTAAGCACCTCTTCCACAAATCAAATGGGCCGTTTCTTAAACCTTGCTTTTGTCAGGGTCATGCTTTGGCAACTGTGGGTTTCCCAAAGCTAAACCTTTCGAATACCACGGACAAAAACTCTGTCTCCACGGGAGAGCAGAATAGTCACCTTCCTAGAGTCCTAGAACTTGATGTCAAAAGAAACAACAGGGAAGCTTTATAGTATCTATTCCTCAGCTGTGGTACACGATTACATCTCAACCCTCCTGAGGAGAATATCATTCTCTTCCCTTAGAAAATGCCCTGTTTAATTGTGCTTTTACTTGAGGGCAACTTTAACCAATGGGAGCTGTAAGGATTATTACACAGATGAATAAAATACTCTCTTTGGCCTCTGAGGAGTTTGGAGTCCAGTGAGGGATACAGGCAGAACCAAACAGAAACACCACAAAAGAACAAATGGAGGTAGGAGGGGCTGGAGTGGTACTGAGCAAGAGCTGAGCTATCTGCCTGGCTTTCAGACACCAAACCAGGCTCTGGTGTAACGGGGCTGTCTTGTTAAGTGTGATCCCAGTGGGTTGCGGGATGTCGCCAAGGCCAGGAGCTTTCATCTCGCTGCAGAAGACTCAGACTTTCCTGGAGAGCTCTTGGGTCTCTGTCACACCACGAAGAAGCCTGGCTTATTCAGTTCCAACTTCTGATGGATCATCATGCTGTGGAACATTCCAGGCCTTTGGGAAGCCTGACATGCCCTGCCTGTACACACTCCTCCCCAGGGCTGAGAGGCTGGGACTGGGAAATCTATATAATCACTACCCTCCTCTGGAATGAAGACATATGTCACTCTGGGGCAGCCCAGAACAGCCAAATGCCAGATGCCTCCTAGAGAATGTGAGAGTAGATGAAACTGTCCCAAGTTGTTAGGTATTGAATTCTATACCCCCCAATCATAAGCCCTGTGAATTTCCATTGTGTTGATGTGGCTTCCATGCTGAATGCTGTCTCTCCCCAGTTTTTAAGGACTTATGAATTTGGAATTCCCAGTACCTCAGCATGTGACCTGATTTGGAAATAGGGTTGTTGCAGATGTAATTATTTAAGCTGAAGTCATTAGGGTGGGGCCTCATCCAGAATGGCTGGTGTCCCTTATTAAGAGGGGAAATTTGGATACAGAGACAGGCTCACAAGGAAAACACCATGTGAAAACAAAGGCATGGAACTCTAAACCCAGGAAGACCAAGGAATGCCAGCAAGCCACCACGAG